GCAGTCAGGAGGCTGCAGCGGTCGCAGTTGGCCAGCTCCTCCAGCTGGGCGCTGGTGAAGCCGCTCAGGTCTGTCTCTCCAGCCTGGGGTATCAGGATATCAGACACAAACGCTGCCGCACAACTTGCGGCAGGGCTGCCAAGCTCCATGGCTGGGCTGGTTGCACGCGGAGCAGACGGCGGTCGAAGCCCGCGCCGGCGTCTCCGGGCCCCCGCTTGTGCGCTGAGCCGAGCGTCAGCCCGCCTCCAAAAGGTGCTGAGAAGGACAAAAATCAACCACAAACGAGCACGATGCCAGCGCCGAATCGACCGCCGTGGGTTATCGACCGCCGTGGGCACGCCAGTTCCCAACCTCTCATGCAACAGGCAGCGGATTGCGCGTGTATTATATGCTATCATAAATCTCAATTAGCTTTGGGCAGCAAGTGTGCATCGCTCCCATCAGGCACGGGCCGTGAGTTGGGTGCAACCCTTCACGTGAGATTGGGCGAGTTTCGAGCGAGTATTACAGGTTGGAGCGCTGAAGTCTCAGGTAGAATTCATCGCATCAAATATACTACGCTCGGATCTGATGGTGAGGGGCGAAGGGACGGCCGCACACGCGCACCCAGTGTGACGTACCGGTGGGTCAGCGGATGTGAGCCTGGTGGGGCGAGCGTCATGGACTGTATGAGCACGTTGTGGTTGTGCGCCTGCCGCCACCGCAAGTTGCAGCACTGGTTACGAGCTGGAAGTGCTGGAGAAGTTCCAGTGACACACCGTTGCTGCGTTGCGCAGAGACGTCATGTCTGGGCTGGGGTGGAGGGACGAGCCACCTAGAAAGCTCTGCGCTGTACACATTGCCACCTTTCTGGGTATGCTGGCCAGGTCTGCTTTGACGGTGGGGTGTATGCGGCGGTTATTGTGCCGAACCACAGAATGTTGCACTGATGAGCCTGCCCGGATTTCTGCTCGGCGAAGCGTCTGGCCAACATGATGATGGCAAATTGATTTGTTGATGCGTGTATGCAGGAAGCATGGCACCGGAACTGGTCTTCAAAGGAACACCGGTATTAATTTCTGCCTGTCTCTAGAACCCAAGTGCTGTATGTGGGTGCCGCAGAGCTCAGCCCCATCTCACAAGCATCAGTGCCACACACAGCGGTACGGTTCTGGTGGGAAACTGGCCATCTGATCTCTTCTCTATCTGCTACAATGGTATATATGGTAGGGGAGAAATGCTCTTCGGTGGATCAGCGGTTTGAATTGGCCGCTTGCTCGTCACCGCACCCCACGCTGTGACTCGGCAGCCGGCAACGCCTAGCCGCTTTCTTGCTGCCATGCGCACACCACCCGCTGCGCTCACGCCCCGAAACGACGCGCTGCTGGGTGTACCTGCTGCAGAGGTGGCAGCTGGCTGGCCAGGTCAATTGCCAGTCACGACGGCGCTCTTCACTTCGACTACCACTCGTCCCTTCAGAAGATTGAGAACCCTAGTAGCTAGCTGCTTCCCACGCGCATTACCGTGCACGCATCCACTTCTGCGCCTGGCAAACCTTGACGCGGTCTGGGAGCCCGCACAAGCACCCTTCCGTAGGGCATGCGGGCTTTCAAAGCAAGTTTCAGGCACGGTTGTCCTCGCATCAGTCCTCCTTGAGCAGGGGTTGCCTGAGGCTGCTGCGTCCTGCTTGGCGTTCTCACGGTGGCCTCTCTGCGCGTCATGCGACAGAAGAAGTAGCCAGGGGTTTTGGGGGTGTTTGGCCGTCCCGGGCCCGACGGACGCACGGCACTACCGTAGAGGCTGCAGTGGCGCGAGAACCACGATGGCTGTCGCCGCCTCGGTACTGCAGCAGCCGGTTCTTCCTGTGAATTTGCTTTACGATGCCAAAGAGCTGATGTGCGTGGTCAGGGCCTGCGGGCCCGACTTCGGCCCGGATCACGCCTCACTGCTCGAGCTGCTCCAATCCTTTTCGATCTCGCCGTTTGGCACATGGTGATTGGGCTTGTCAGGCGCAGTCATGCTTGGTGGGGTCCGCTGGGTGGCAGCGCACGCTGGCTGGCTGTCGCGCTGCAGCTGCATCATGCGCACTGGTGGAGTGCAAGAGAGCATGCAGGATCTCCGCCACATGACATCCATGCTGCGGGCCATCACCAGCATGATAATAGCATAGCAGCACCTGCCCGGCCAACATCAGCTTGGATTGCTCAAGCACTGGCGTGCGGGGCTGCATTGCCAGGATCGGGGCTTGGGGGAAGGTGTCCTGATGGTGTGCACCTCCCCTCGTATGCTAACACTGCAGGCAGTGCGCCGCCCCCAGGAGTGTGCAGCCCATCACAGTCGTGCATGTGCTTGCTGGAGGTGCGGGCGCGTCACATATCTGGATTCGTGTCATCCTGCAATTTCCATACGTGCTGCCCCACCTCCAAGACGTGGCATGCGCTGTCGACGTTCCACTCGCCGATTTGGCACACACGGCCGAACGTCTTCAACCGTGCTGCCAAAATTGCACGGCTTGTTTTCACATCAAGTTCTTGCACTGCTGGCAACAGATTGGTGCCCCATGCGGGCAACCCACCGCGCCCTGAAATTGCAGACACCGGCCCGGCTCTTCGCATGCTCCCCGACCACCAGCGCATGGACCCCAGGTAGGTACCAACACCCAGGCATGTACAACCGAGTGGTGGTTGCATGACCTGAATCAAGGCAGAACGTGATTGTTTACGGACACAGCAGGTGGTTGTATGTGTGAGATGTCTGAGCTCTGCACAGCACTCAGCTTTACATGGCAACTCAGCGACACCTATCTGCTTGGACCACGGCATCTGCGCCCTATGTCGGCTGTTATGCAATCGCATGCTTGCTCGCTGGCTAACAGCATATGCCGTTGCCCGCTGCGTCCTGTGTGTCTGGACCTGCAGCAACCTGCAGAGCTTCCAAGCCGTGCACGCCCAGCTCGCGACAAGTGCGTCGGCTATCGTGATCCGCTACGGCAAGTCGATGCGGGAGCTGGTGCTGGTGCCAGCATATATAAGAGCAGCAGGTGGTTGGGCTGGGTGGAGTGGGCAGGGGGCTTGGGACGCCTTGTTGGTGCAGGGGTCTTTGGAACCGCGCAACTGCTGCTTGATCTAGCTATGCTCGCAGGAGGAGTAGTGTTTATTCTCGATGCATCCACGCAGGTGCTTGGAACACCTCAGCCCACTGCTTTGCATGGCTCTCACCTGGCTGCCAAGCGATGCTATTGCTGAGTGTGTCGTCTGGTGCTGATTGGTCCAGCCCCCAACTGCGCCTCTGGCATATCTGGCATAGAAATCACCACAGCGAAAGGGTTGCTGTCTCTACATGCGGGTTTGCAATTGCTGGGGTGCAAATCATGGCAGGTCAGGGCGCGGGGCTGTGATCTGGCAGCTTGCGGTTGCACCCACTTCATGTGTGATCTGGTGGGCCAGGAATCGGTGGCAAACAGAGGCTGATCTTACAAGCAACCACAGCTGAACCCACTATTCAAAAACAATGACTACACAAATGGCGTATGATCTGGAAGTGTGCTGTGGGGGCAAGTTTTGCACCTTGCTGCTTGACCAATTTCGTTGCTGTGATCTCGCACATGTGTCACCGACACTTTGCTGGCAAGGTGAAAGGTGTTTGGGCCACATCGTCTGTCCACACAAGCCTGTGGTTGATCCCTGAGACATATATTTCAGCCAGTTGTGTGTCGTGTGTTTGAGCATGAGGTGTTGACTTGTCACACAGGAGTAGCATTTGACACTTTGGTTGAAAGATTGCTGAAGGGTGAATTCACAGCTGCAAACTGTGCCACACTGCCGCGTCTGGCTCCCTGCTGCCACGCGCTCTGCGCGTGTGACATACCCAACTCATGGCTGACAACCCACTGTCTGCCGTTGTGATCTGCCTAGTAATCCGCATACCCTGTGAACGTGGTGTGTTTGCGTACGCATGCCTCCTCGTGTGAAAAGATGTCTTCGTGCAAACGTGTCAAGTGCATGGGCATGCAGATGGACGTAAGCTGTGATCACCCTGTCACAGGTACACACCAATCATGCAAGCACCCCCCATGCCCTAACCTCATGCCGAAGTGTGCGATCATCGCACTCAGCATGATCGTCACCAGCCAAGCGGAGCACCTCAGTCGCGCGGAGGGTGGCACCATAACATCATCTCCCTCCATTGTTGCTTCTTACATGACATGTGTGTGGTCATGCGCACACGCGCGTGCGCGTACACAGACACAGAGACACACACACACACACACACACACACACACACACACACACACACACACACAAGCGTGCAAGTGCACATGTTTACGCACACACACACACACACACACACACACACTCTCTCTCTCTCTCTCTCTCTCTCTCTCTCTCTCTC